TGGGAGGTCGCGACCTGAGATATGTCTTTCTAACCACCTAACAAGACACGGGGCAGGATAAAATGAGGGTTACAAGTGCAGCAAACGATCCATACGTCTTTATTTGGCTAATAGATTCCCCATTATAACCCCTCGCAGGGGTGACTTATGCCCCATTATTCACCATAAAGCATCTGGTGTGGTACGTTCCGAAGGGCACCGAATGCTTCATCCCATGTCACCTGTAAAATTGAAAAAATATCTACCTGCGATTCTGTCGAACCTGCTAGCTAGTCTCTACCAGACTAACTACGCTGGCTATATGTAGGAGAATATTTGCTAGAGGAGTTTGGCCGCCTTGTAGGTTTGGCTGGCGGCAGAGGGAAAGAAACTACCTCCCCGCGGCCGGACTCCCTTGGCCAATTTTACTTTTTTTTGCCGAATTCTACGATCCGTATTCCCGTAGAAAGGCCTGGTGGAGGCTACCTGCTTGCCAGGATGCAAGATTATTCTAAAAATTGCCTTAAAGCTTTAAGCCAAATCAGGACAATCTCTATTATAATAATAATGTCCTTGGCCAAACTCAAGCAATTTTGTAGTCACATGAAATGATGAAGAACTGTCTTTGTCGCGTGTATAACAGCAGGTTGGTTGATTATGATCTATTTGCAATTTTGTCACACTTGTGTGCAAGATTGCAGAAAATAGTGAGGAAACCAAATTTCAGGAATTATGGATTGGCAGAAGCAAATAGAAAGGGCTCTTTTCTTGAAACAGTTTAATAACAAGACATGCTAAGCCTTAGAAAGAATAAAGTCCCAGTGTTGAGAGGATTAACCTTAACATGTCAGTGGATTAACCTTAACCACAAGGACAGAAACCTTGACCAGTCAGTCTTTTCTATAATGTTCCTTCCTAGTGTTTATGGGATTTTTATAAGATTGTGAAACTTATTTCAACAAATACATTCTATCTATTCTTCACTATTTTGACTCAATTTACAAGAAATTTTGACAAGAAATAATTTTTTCTTACACCTTTTTAATGATACGCAAATTAAACTGATTTGATTGTAAAGTAAACTTTTTGTAAAAGTTATGTAACAATATAATACTAGTATTAAAGTATTGAAATTGCAATATTACTGGTAGCCTTTTGGAAATTAAAGTCTGTAGCATATTGCACACATTAACAGTATTTGATTTACTTTACAAGCAACATAAATTTTTAACTTCTCCACACATTTTTAAGTAACTATTATAATTGCATTATAATATTATGACACATTTCTGCAACAATCCTGAGCAGATGCTTGCTTGATATCAAAGGCCACTTTACTCTTTTTATAGGGCTTACAAATATACGATTTTCACATTTTGGTAGGCAAATATATTGTTTAAAATTTAAAAATGATTCAAAAGCGCCTCCTGTTAAAAGTTGATTGAACTGCAGTTACAGTTGCAAATAACAGTTGCACTTCTTTTACGCATGTAAAAATATTCTATAACAGTAAATGTTAAGCACAGAAGTTACTCAGATGTACAAATGCTTAAAATGTTTACTTTGTGGCATCATTATTGTTTATAGCAGACAATTTTTTGGACAATTTTTTTCCTATTCTTTGGAATACTAAATAGAATTTGCTTAATTGTGGGTCACTTTGGTAACTAAAATTATCTTATCACAGGTAATTTATAAAGATTTGTCACCTGGAACACGTTTGGCAAGCCTAAAACCCTCACCTGCATAAAAAAGTCTTTGAATATCAGATATAATCAACTTGCTTATTTTTTGCACATACATGTAACAGTAATAAACTTAAATCTCATTATATAATCTTAGTGATCTCTGTGTTTTGTACATTTACTGATCAAATAAGTACTACGAATGGCTCACGAACGTCAACATATATAAATACAAACATTGCATCCGTGTATAAAATGTCTGGTCCCTGATTCTTACATCCAGCAACACAACAAACAACCTTGCCCCTTGCATCCTACTGGTTACCTTGTTTACTGGTACGCTGCCATGGCAACACTATTGTTTACTGTCTCGTCACCGTGGCAACCTCATGCCGTTGTGCTGTTGATAACTAAATCCAGTAGAACAACAACCTTGCAACTTGTATCCTACAGGTTACTAGTATCTTATTTACTGCTATGTTGCCATGGCAACACTATCGTTTACTGTTTATTGTTACCATGGTGACGTCATGCCGTTGTGCTGTTGTTCATGTCGGTGACCTCGGCCATCTCGACCCGGATGTTGTTCTGCTCTAGCTGCTGCTGCAAGATGGCCGCCAGCGACTCCTCCAGGTGGAACCCCATCAGGTCCTTCCTGTGGGTCAGAGGTCAGGGGGTCAAGGTCAGAGGGGTTGTCATGATTCAAGGTCAGGGGTCAAGGTCAGAGGGGGTTATCATGATTCTTTATGTTTTGGGAGCTAGGTTGTTTTTCTACAGTGTTGAAGTTTCAAGTTTGTGGCACAGCAGGAAAAACTCATACACTGTTGTAAAAACTGAACATTTAAGTTTTTACATTAAAAGTGTTGTCATTCTGCTAGCCTGGATGCCAGACCCACAGCACACTAGGCCCAAAGTATCTCAGTGTGCACGCTGGATAACTTTGGGCCTAACGTGCTGTGGGTCTGGCATCCAGGCTATCATTCTGCTAGTGCGATGTCACAAGTGCAAAGGAGCACATGTATGCACAAAGTGATATAGTAGAAAATTATAAACACTGTTAGTGGAGGTAACACATGAGCACAGCGACTTTCTACTTTTCTGGCAAAGGAAAGGTCCACAGCATCTGCATAACACACAGCAAAAGTCTTCCCCACTCCACTCCAGCAAACAGCCAAACCAGAGTTTACCAGGCGCAGGTCTCTAACCAGAGTTAACCAGGCGCAGGTCTCTAACCAGAGTTAACCAGGCGCAGGTCTCTAACCAGAGTTTACCAGGCGCAGGTCTCTAAGCGAAGTTTTACAGACCCAAAGCCCCGCCACACCTGAAAGAGAGAGAGAAGGAGAGAGGCAAGCGAGGGTTAAGTTACGAGGCGAGCGTCGCGTCACATCCAGCTCTCCGCCTGCTCCATGGGGAGGTTGGTGGCAAAGGTCACTTCCTGTCGCACCCGACCCAGGCTCTCCTCCAGCTGGAACCCCATCAAGTCCTTCCTGTGGCAAGGGTCAAAGGGCAATAGGGTCATTCCCTGTGGGATGGGGAAAACTGAGGGACACTTTTATGCTTACAAGGTTTGTTATCACTTTCATAAAAGGTAACAGAGATTCCCAGCAAAACACAGTATGATGAGCAGCAAGAAAAAGATGTGGATAAGAGGACTAAACAGCTCTACAAGCCCGAATACCTTAATACATGTAAAGTAACCAACTGACCAAAGAAAAAAATAACAGATAAACCATTATACCTCTACCTCAATGGCATTATAGATTCCTAAGAGTCTAAATGTGATGCACACACACAAACAAACAAGCAAACAAACAAACAAACAGACAGTCCCACCTGGTGATGATGCCCACGACCTTGTTGGTATCGTCCACGACGGTGAGATGTCTGAGGCCCAGTGTGCGGAAGATGATGTAGGTTCTGTGGAGTGAGAAGTTGTCCCGCACTGACAGCGCAGACTGGTTCACGTACGGTTGCTGCAGCAAATACACAAGGAGAATATCTGGTCAGGAGGCGTCACTACCTAAAACCTGTATATGACTGTCTCTTGTCACGTGATTATCCCATCAAGTCACGTGGCAAGAGAACTCCAAGACGAGATCTGAATTGGGTTGAAGAAGAGACAGAGTACGTCTCGAAAGCTCCCCAGCATAGCTGAACTTTCGTTGTGTGTTTATGTATAAATATTATGTCAAAAATATCTGGTCAAGATTTTCCATAACTTTGGTCCGATGCAATAACCGGGAGGTCATGAGTTCAAACCCCAGGTGGGTCATACCAAAGACTTAAAAAACGGCACATACTGCTTTCTCTATCTGCTAAGCACTTGGCATCTATTAGAAATAGTATGGGAAGGTCAAACACACAACACTACCAGCGGACTAGCCCCCTGCTGTAGTACTTGCACAACTGTGTGGCCCAAGGGCTATTGAACTAGAGATGGGCGCCAACCCTATGCTTCACATGGAGTGGAAAGGGACCTTCTTGTTCTTCTTGGTCCATCCATAAATACATTCTTTTTACTTAAGATATCTAGGGTAGTTCATTTTTTGCCTGAGATGCTGTTATAGTTTTATATCTTTCATGGAGATGCTTGTGTAATGCAGATAATAGAAAATGTAGAAACTACATGGACAGTCCCTGAATCAACATACCAAGTTGACAAACTGTTGTTCATAATCAGGATCGTCACAAAATTTGGTCAGAAGCTCCTCAATCTCGTCCGTGTTGTACAACTTGTGGATAGTTGTCTGTGGAAGAACAATAAACAGTAAGATTTGGTTAGTCACTGACAAAAAGTAGTGGAAACTAATTGAAAAGTGTGTATATCCAGTTGCTTGATCATGAGTAACTGTTTTCTTGTGTATCTCATAACCTGAATGTCTTTCTTGTGTTTCTCATTACTTCCATCCAAGTAAGATGTCATGTTTAAGACAAGCAGAGCTCTAAAAACACATTCTCAGTCTTAAATTGTTGCTCGGGATTGGAACCCAGAAACTTACAATAACAACCCTAACCACAAGACCAACTTGCTATGTGCCAGTTGTAGATGAGCATCCTTGGTTTGTAGCAATGCTGATAAATAAAAAACTAAAAATCCCGACCTGTTGGTAGTCCAGCAGTGTGACTTCTGGGTCTTCTTCAGACGGGTTTTCTCTCGTCTCGAACAGTTCAGGATGGAACAGGATCACACTCAGCTCTATTCTGAAACGTGGACAAGAACATCATTCAGCACATCACAGACAACAATAGACAACAACAGAACATGTCACATACATGTAACACCAAAGTGGTATTATGGCTCTGTCTTCTTATCTTGATGGATACTTGTAGTGGAATATCCTAAATCCAAAGATGCAGGTTCAGATGTTTCCAAAACCTGAATGAGAGATGGCAGACTTCACCCCCCTTACCCATAGTGTTTTACCGCCCTTCCAATCCTATAGACAAAAATGCAGCATTGGAGTTGTATGGCAATGGGGAGTGCAGGAACACACACACAGACAGACAGACACACACACACACACACACACACACACAAACACACACACACGCACAGGGACACACACACACACAAACACACACACACACACACACAACACACACACACAAACACACACACACAAACACGCACACACAAACACACACGCACACACATCAATGCGCACACAGATAAGTGGCCTCACCTGGTTATCATGCCGTAGAAGGTCTTGTCCTGCCCCTCCCTGCTGGAATGTACCACCGGGAAGCCCCCGTGGGGGGTGTCCAGCAGCAGGTGTGCGAGGTTAGCGACGGACTCCCGTGTGGAGATGACGCAGGGCGGGGCCGCCATAACGTCTCGCGCCATGTGCAGCTCCAGGTTCACTCTGCAAGAGGGCAACAACAGTCGTTTAACCCTTGTCCTGCTGACATCTTTTACACAATACATGTATTTCAACTAAAATTTGAAGTCTTAACCAGGTCACAGACCCTTGACTTTTTTTGCCCTGCGTTGGCGTAGTTACTTCCGCATCTGTTGCGTTTCACTGCGTTGTGATGCATTGCAAGAGAAATACTGGCAAATCGTACATATACAGGGCACTAAATAGAGGGTACGTACTGTATGTGCAACCCATCGAGGAAAAAAATAACTGTAAACTACCACTAATAGCCTGGTTACTATTTTAGCTCTCAAGTCTATATCCTCTATATTTGCGGAGAAGACATAGACGGGAGCTTAAATAGGTCTGGCAGCCAGGCTATACCACTAAAGGCAAACTCTATGAAATAAGGATACATGTCAATGTTGCGACTGTATGTTTATGAATTTGTATATACAAGAGGACTTCAATCATGGCCTGTTTTATTGTTGTATTTCTTCTTACCCTGACCTTTTCCCTCATAACCTCAGTGAAAAGCACCAAGCAGTTTCATGAATAAACAAAGGCTTAAACAAACAAACAAACGAACAAACAAGCATAACATCTCGTGGTGCACTATGGAAGTAACACCACAGAGAGAACTAAGGACATTTCTAAAGAAAGCTGTCACTCCCTCACTCACTATCTGGTTTAGCCTCTGTTGTTCCCTGTCATAGTTTAAAACCTTCTTAGCTGCCCAGCTTAGCCAAAGGCTTGTACTAAAGACCAGCCTGTGAGCTGGAAGGATTTGGTCACCACACACAGGGGAACGAGTCTGAGTTCTTTCCCACACATCTCATGATCCACACACACTTGTGTTGTTTCTCAGCACCCCACCTGTTCTCAGGCCTAGGGAAAAAAAGTTGTGTGTTCCTGTTTCCCAACCGACCCCATAAAAAAAACCTGCCGACCCTAGATTTTTTTTGGGTGGACCCCTGCAAGGGACATAAATTTTTCAAGCTGATTGACTTTTTCTAGCTCCATGATCCGACACCTGAGGGATGAAATGTTGTGCAATCGGTTTTCCAACATTGAAAATACAATTGTCCTCATGCAAGTTTTATTAATGTTAAACTGTATGTAGTGAGTGGGATCACTAGAGAAAGTCTAATGAAAAAAAAACAAAGAAAAAAAAACAACCCTGACATTGAAAATATAAGTGTCCTCATGCTAAAAAAAATAGTTAAACTGTGTTGTGTAAGTTTGTCATTGATATTGTCAGAGTCTAAAAAGAAGATAATCCCTACCTACCGACCCTAATTTTTTTCAAGACTGAAACAGGAAACACAACATTTTTTCCTAGGCCTTATACCAACTGCCATAGTACTGTGGGAAGGAGGTTATCTCCTAAAACATACCACCTCAGGCTGAACAATAACTTAGGGCATGTCAGAAATCTCCAAGCATCAAATATCTGCAGCAAGGAATAGTTTTAAACTGCCAAAGCCAACAACGTCAGCAGCTTCTAAGTCTTTCCTTTACAGGTTCTCAAAATTGTACAAGACACTTCCAGATCATATCAGAACATCTGTACCTACCACATTCAGAACTCTTACCAAAGACAGACTGAAACAAACTTACTGGACAAATTATACAGATCATAGTAGTAAATGGAAGATTGTATATATGTATATATTGTGTATGTTGATGTATTGTTACGTTTATGTGTATACTCTCTCCTGGAAGAATAGCTGTCAACCTTGGGTGGGCAGCTTAAGGAGAGTTTTAACTCAATAAACTCAAGCAGATGTTGTGCTGGATGATTGTAATGTTCTCTGACAGTCTGACTGCTTCAGGCTAGTTTTCTCAATATTGGCAAACTACAGGACAACAAGGGGAGCATTGTCAGGTATCAGGAGTGTGTATGTATGTGTGTGTGAGGGGGTGTACAAATTTGGATTGAACATGATGGTGAGTTATGTAGTAACTAAGCAGTGAGGATGTGCACGTCAAACAATGAAGGAAACAAGGAAAATCGTAGATTTTGTACCTCCGGGTATTGTAATGTATGTTGCAGAATGTTGGGTGCATGTTGGGACTGTTCTTTGAATTAACTAGTGAATTCGCGCGAATACCATTTTTTTCGAAAAGTTTCGAAATGTTTGTAATTGGCTAAATGATGTGTGAAATCACTAATCCCCCCTAGCCGACTGGAGCCCAAAAATAGAAAGGACAGGAGGCATCCCGTGGCGAATCTGGCTGCCCGACCCTCAGCGACCAGCGATAATGTAAACAAACACAGTAACGGGTGTCCGAGACACGAAAAGGAAATACAAATAATCTTACGCCCCAAAACACATATACAATAAAACAAAAAAAACCTGCACCATCTACAGCCCATTAACAGAAGATACACCGTCTACCCCAACGCGAAATGCATGTCGAGAACGTCTGAGACAGTATACCACGGTATTTGTAAGCCGAAAACATCCGAAATTGCGCAAGAGGGCGTTGACCCCTGACCCATTGGCCCACCCGGAAGTTGGCTGGCTGCGACCCGCGCGATCCCACCAGGCACGATAATGAGACGTTGATTGACGGCACATGTGGTTCACATCTGAACAGTTTCAAAGAAAGAATTTATCGACAATGCTTACACCCCTCTGTGTGAAAGGTCAGATCAGTGGTCGCGACCTCAATGGTGATTATACATGCAAAGGTCAAAAGCTGAGGCCCACTTTCACACTGAAAGGGGTGTCCATCGGCGGTCTAAACGCATCATTTTCACGCACTAAAACACACATACTAAAAAACCAAAACAACGTGCACCATCTACAGCCCAACAGCAAAACGTATACCAAGTCCCAGACATATCCGTCCACCCAAACGCGAGAAACGGCTGCGAACGCAATTTTCGTCTTCCCTCACAAAACCTCCGCGCTCGGGATATACATCCCTACCCGGAGGTAATGACAGCAGTAATACATGACAGAAAACTCAGAAGGACCACTGCTTTGCTGACCAATACAACACTAGTTAACTGTTAAGGCCTAGGGAGAAGCTAAGGTCTAATGTAAGATGACTTGACAATTTTCAAGCAGATGTTGTGGTGGATAATGGTAATGTTTTCTGACAGTCTGACTGCTTCAGGCTAGTTTTCTCAATATTGGCAAACTACAGGACAACAAGGAGAATACTATCAGGTGTCAGGAGTGTGTATGTGTGTGTGTGTGTGAGGGGGTGTGCAAATGTAGATTGGACATGATGGTGAGTTATGTATTTTCTAAGCAGTGATGACAATGCATTTTTTTCTTACTTAGTGGTCGCCACGTAACATGGCCGTTAGGCCACTTCAAGGTGAATGGTGCTACCACCTGAATGGTATGACCACTCACCTGGGTTACGGGTTACCGAGTAGAACTTCAAACAATGAAAGAAATGACAGTAGTAGTACATGACAGAAAATTCTGGAGGACCACTGCTTTGCTGACTAATACAACACTAGTTAGAAGCTAAGGTCTAATGTAAGATGGCTTGACAATCTCCTAGCAGATGTCGGGGTGGATGAATGTAATGTTCTCTGACAGTCTGACTGCTTCAGGCTAGTTTTCTCAATATTGGCAAACTACAGGACAACAAGGGAGCACTGTCAGGTGTCAGAGTGTTTGTGTGTGTGGGTGTACAAATGTAGATTGAACATGATAGTGAGTTATGTAGTTACTAAGAAATAATGACGTACACTTCAAACTGTGAAGAAAATGGAAGTAGCAGCACAAGACAGACATGTCATAGAAAACTCAGTAAGAGCAAAGTTTTGCCACCATAGTGTCTTGTGTGTGGGAGGGAGGTGTAGGTTGGACATGATGGTGAGTTATGTACTTCCTAAGCAGTGACGACATGCATTTCAAACAGTGAAACAAATGACAGTAGTAGCACAAGATAGAAAACTCTGGAGGTGCACAGTTTTGTTGACCGATACAGCACTTAAGTTATGGGAGGATGTGAGGTTTAAGGTAAAGTAAGACAACTTGACAATCTCAAAG